TGAACTCTGGGCCTGGGCGCTGTCCCTCAGCTCTTCAGCTCAAGGCTAGCGCTCTACCACTTCAGCCACAGCACCACTTCCGGCTTTTTTCTTTTTGCTTATGCAGTGCTGAGGAATCGAACCCAGGGCCTCAGGCATGCAAGGCAAGCACTCTACCACTGAGCCACCTTCACAGCCCCTGGGAGATTTTGTTTGTTTTTGTAATTCAGTTACACAATAACAAATGTGTGTTGGGGACATTTTACAGTATGGCATGAGTTGACATATTCATACTTGCCACAACTACTGGCACTGTTGAGAAGTGACTGAATCATTAAGGGCACTAACCCCATCAATAGATTTATTCACTGATGAGCTCATAGCTGAATGGTCACTAAAAGCTAGAGAACCCTTTAATTAATGTGCATCTTCACAGCTCCCTAATCAACCTCTTCCCTTCTTTTTTTGTTGAAACTGTGACATACTATGAAATAGCTAGGCTGGCCTCAAACTTGAGATCCTTTCACTATGACTACTGATGTCATCAGGCCCAATATTACATTTAGTACTGACACTACTTTCCAGGAGTTAGTATTAGAACTCATAAGTCTTAGTCCTGAAGTTCCCCAAGACTTTCCCTACTTAGGACAATAGTTACAAGTCTCTGGTCATCTGTGCTTCTGACCATCTAGCTACAAATTAGATCATTGATCCTTAGTCCAGCTTCAGAATTTGCCTGCATGTCTCCCAGTACTCAAGAAAATGCTTGCTTATTATAAAGGATACCACCCAGATATAAGCCAGTGCTTTGAAGAGGTATATAGTTCAGATATGTAGGGGATTGAAGGTGGGCACAAATCTTGTGTTCTTTCCAGCACACCATCTTCCTAATACAGGTGTGTTCACCAACCTAGAAGGCTTTTCTGAATCTTTTCTTTTTTTGGCCAGTCCTGGGCTTGAACTCAGGACCTGTGCACTGTCCCTGTGCCTCTCTGTGCTCAAGGCTAGCATTCTATCACTTGAGCCACAGCACCACTTCTGGCTTTTTTTTGTGTATGTGGTACTGAGGAATTGAACCCAGGGCTTCATGCATGCTAGGCAAGCACTCCAACACTAAGCCACATTCCCAGCCCCTGAACCTTTTTTTCTTTTTTTAAAAAAATTTATGTAGTGCTCAATCTCTAGTTCCCTCTGACTCCCCTTAATGGATTTTGGCGGGTGGAGCTAAAATTGTCAACTATTTGCTTCCTGGGTTTTCCTAGTGACTAGCTTCATCCTAAGACTGTCTAGAGAAGCTCTACACTATTAGTCTTATTGATCAAAAGGTCTTGTTATAAATAATAAAAGATATTACCACTCTTAAAATCCCAGTTTTTAAGAACTGTTTGAAGGAGAAAAACTACAAATTTTTTATACTATAAACTTGAAAATATATTTAATTGGTTTTGTTATTTAATTATACAATTATAAATTTTGGAGCAATTTCAGCCGTAGGATGCACTAAGTTTTTGTTGCTGTGACAAAATATGTGAGAGAAATTGAAGGAAACATTTATTTTGACTGATAATTTCAGATGTTTCAGTCCATGGTCAGGTGGTTCCATTGTTCTTAAGCATATAACAAAGCAAAATCATTGTGTGTAAAGGCATACAAGGCAAAGGAAAGTGATCACCTCATAATCTGAAGGATGGAAGAGGACAAAATAATACTGATACCCATCAAAGGCATAGTCCCAGTAACCCACTTTCTTCACTTAGGCCCTACTCCTGGGCTACTCCTGTGCCCATGTGCAACTTTTGCGGGGATACTTTATGTCTAAATCATAATGTAGGAATTAAACATGTAGAAATAATATGAACCCTTTTTGTTTTAAAATGGTTTCTTGGAGGTGGCTCTTGGCTCAAAGTGCTAGAGCACTAGCCTTGAGCGCAAGAGCTCAAGGATAGCACCCAGGCCCAGAATTATAGCCCCCCACAACTGATTTTTTTTTAAAAGCAAAACCTGTAAAGTGAAATGGTCTTCTTATATTGGGCTGTTAAGTCAGTTAATATTTTTGCATCTTCATGTTTTAGCAAAATTGTAAGTAATGATAAAATCTCTGACATTATATATATTTTTCTCCCTTATCATCTAAGGTGGACTTGGAGGACTTGCAGGTTTGAGTAGCTTGGGTTTGAATACTACCAACTTCTCTGAACTACAGAGCCAAATGCAACGACAACTCTTATCCAACCCTGAAATGATGGTCCAGATCATGGAAAATCCCTTCGTCCAGAGCATGCTCTCCAATCCTGACCTGATGAGGCAGTTAATTATGGCCAATCCACAAATGCAGCAGTTGATACAGAGAAATCCAGAAATTAGTCACATGCTTAATAATCCAGATATAATGAGACAAGTATGTGGAAAATTATTCTAATAATTTTGTTTTTCTATACTAGTTACACACATTTTTCTATATATACTGTGAAGCCATAGAGAAATCCCAATCATCCTTAAAAAAAGATCAAAGCATTATTTTGGACTATGGGGATGCTGAGGTTTTTTCCCAAATGAAAAGGTGTTTTCTTGTTTGTGTTGCTTTCTTTTTCTTGCTTTGTTCATACTTGGGCTTGAACTCAGGGTCTTAAACTTACTAGGCAAGTACTATACAACTTGAGTCACTTCTCCAACAGATTTTTTTATTATCTTTAATTAGATGTATAAAAGATTTTCAATTCAAACTATCATTTTATAAATATAATGCATCTTGATCAGTGTTGTGCTTTGCATTGTTCTCCATCATTTCTCCTATCCCCACCCATATCCTCAAGTTACCTGTTCAATTTTCACCTATGTACATTGGATAAAATGACTGTATTTACCCACCCTTCCTCTCTCCATTCATCTGCCCCCACTCCCCTTCTTGTCCTTCCACAAAAATTCTTTATAAACAGTTCAGTTTGAAGGTTTAAGAAACAGTAAATTTCTATATAGGGGATGTTTATACATAACAGATTGCTTCTGTCTTGATTTTATATGAAAGTTTGCTTGCTTATATAAGTAAAATCCACCAGAAAATTAAAAAATAACTTTGTATTGAAAGACAGCAAATTTGATTTTAAACACCAGTGAACTTTTGTTTTGATTATAAAATCACACCTCATTCTACAAAATAGAATGAGTTTTCCAATGAACTGAGCAAAGGAAGTTAGCTTTCAGGAGGTAGAAAAAAGCAGAAAAGGGAACAAACGACAGATTGGTTGTTGTAGACTTAACTTTCCTAATAGGGTTACTGTGCTGACTTAGGTTGCCTGGAATCTTCTGTTTGTTTTTGTTTTTTAGTTCTTTTCAGAGTTCAGCTTGATTATTTGGCATTTAGCAGAAGTCACTCTGTTCAGTGTACTGGAGCCTGTGGCAAGAGGCTAGTTAGAAACAATGATCTTCTATTAACTTCCATAAACTTAATTGTACTAGCTAAAATAATTCCATGTGTGTTCCAAGGCCTTTTTTTTTTTAATGAAATATTTTTTTCCCTAGACATTGGAACTTGCCAGGAATCCAGCAATGATGCAGGAAATGATGAGAAACCAGGACCGAGCTTTGAGCAACCTGGAGAGTATCCCTGGAGGATACAATGCTTTGCGACGCATGTATACAGACATTCAGGAACCAATGCTGAGTGCTGCCCAAGAGCAGGTGATCCAACAGCTCCAAGACTCAGGCCTCAGATGAACCCATGTTTAACACATATGTGGTCTGAGGGATGGCTGCCTTTATATTGGAAATGTAATTTCATTAAAAAGTAGTTACCTATGTTATTTAAAACAAAAGCTTATTTATGATTTTTTTTGTCTTTCATTACAGTTTGGTGGCAATCCATTTGCTTCCTTAGTGAGCAGTACATCGTCAGGTGAAGGTAGTCAGCCTTCTCGTACAGAAAACAGAGATCCATTACCCAATCCATGGGCTCCACAGGCTTCCCAGAGTTCATCAGCCTCCAGTGGCTCCACTAACACTGTGAGTGGCACTACTGGCAACACTACCAGTGCCACTGCTGGGCAGAATACTGCTGGACCAAATTTAGTGCCTGGAGTAGGAGGAGGTATGTTTAAAGTAAACTTTGGTGTCTTCATTCAGATGAATAATAATAAAAAGTATTGCTTATATTGATGTGTTTTTGTGTATGTGTATGGGGTATACCTTTTATGAACTTTTTCATGTGCCAGGATTTGTGGAATTATTAGAGGGGAAAGATTTTTAAATCATACATGTTGATAGGGTACAACATGATATTGTCATATGTGTATACATTGTGAATGATAAATGTACCCATTAGCTCTTATGCTTATTTCTTATGGTTAGAAAAATTGTCTATTCTTTTAGCAATTTTTAAGTACAGTGTATATTACCATTTTTAGTTACTATTCTATACAACTGATATCCAGAACTCATTCATGGAAACATCTTAAGCAGAAGAATAACACAATATAATGGGATCACTGTAGTTAACTATTTGAAGAAGATAATCAAAAACATAAAAACTTATTCATATTTAAAAACATATTCAAAAACTTAAGTTTGCTTATAAGGTCATTCAAGTAAGCCAGGACATACAAAATGATGGGTGAGGACATGACCAAAAATAGAAAGTAGAAAAATATATTTGTTTTGTTGGCCATGGGCTTGAACTCAGGACCTAGACGCTGTCCCTGAGCTTTTTTTTTGGGGGGGGGAGGGGGGTCTGGTCATGGGGCCTGAAGTCTGGGCCTGGGCGCTGTCCTTCCACTCTTCAGCTCAAGGCTAGCGCTCTACCACTTGAGCCACAACATCACTTCCAGATTTTTTCTTTTTTGCTTATGTGGTGCTGAGGAATTGAACCCAGGGCCTCATGCATGCAAGGCAAGCGTTCTACCACTGAGCCACCTTCCCAGCCCTCCCTGAGCTTTGTTGCTCAAGGCTATCACCACGTTGAGTGACAGTGCCACTTCCAATTTTCTGGTGGTTAATTGGAGATGAGTCTCGTGGACTTAGCTAGCTTCAAACCAGGATCCTCAGAGATCTCAGCCTCCTGAGTAGCTAGGATTATAGACATAAGCCACTGGCCTGGCTATATTTGTTAAGTAACATAACATAAATATAAATCAAATTTTAGATGTCCAGTTCTACCTGCTTCAAAAACTCTAACACAAAGCAATTCTCTTACCCTAGTAAATTTATTTCATGTCTATATTCAGTTGCTCTCTAGGCATGTCAAGATACTGAACACAAATTTATGGAACTAAATGGATAAGTGTGTTAAGAATAAAAGTGTTCATCATTGATATTCCTTCTGATTTAATATTTTAAACAAAGATCAGAACACTTTCTAGAGTACCTGCTGATGAATAAGACAATGCATAATGAGTCATTAAATGCGTTATATTTTTATAAACTTTGTAATTGGTCCAGTTGAATTCTTTTCATTGTTCACACATTTTTGCCAACATCAGATGCAGCTTACCTTAGCAAATTCCATTTCAAGTTGTACTGAAGTATTATCTTAGCTTCTTGGTGTATGTGTGGGTTGGCAGGGAGTTGTTTGCCTTTTGTTTTGTTTTTTATTTTTTTGGTTTTGTTTTTTAAATACTCCTGCTAGTTAGCTGTGTAGCTCAGGTTGATTTTGAACTAGTGACCTTCAGTTTCTTTGGAAATAGTCTCACTTTAGTTGTTCCATGCAAGACTTTTTACAAGTTCAATTTTCAGGCACTTCAGACTTGGCCTTGTCACTCCACATAAACTAAAACCAAATACTATGAGTAAAATGTTGATTTATCAAGAGTACCATTTAGAATCATTTGCATGGTATTTGAATTGGATATTGGTGGTGTGCTCAATTGTCTTTAACTCTGCGGGGGGCGGTAGGTCAACCCTATACCCCCTAAAAGGCAAATAGACCTACATTTGTTTTCTTGGAAAGATGATTAATTAATTCTGCTATTTTGTTCTGATATTTTGCCACTGCTAGTACAAGACTTTGATTGGCTAACAAGCCGCTTGGAAATTTCATTTTTAGCTTTACTTACCTCGATTTTTCATTTTATGTGAAGAATTGTAGCTCTAATAAAGTATTTAATTTTAATTGCGCGCGCCGCCTCGTGTCGGCCTCCTTTTTCCCTCCCCTCCCCCTCCGGTTTTTGGGGCTTAAACTCACAGGGCCTGGGTGCTATCTATGATTTTTCTCACTCAAGGCTAGCACTCTACCACTTTGAGCCACAATGCCACTTACTATTTTCTGGTGGTTTATTGGCAATAAGAGTCTCATGGACATTCCTGCCTGGGCTGATTTCAAGCCATGATCC